GTACTACATTGAGGAGACAGTTATTGAGGAGGGTGAGCCACATGAGGTAAAGGTCCCTGTCATTATTCATATACTGTCTGTATGCATGTAATTAATGTGTAACTCTAAATTAGTAGCCCTTTTGTATTCTGAGGTTTGATTTTTCACATTAAACTCACAAATGGCACCAAAGAGTTGCTGTTTAATACTTTATTTCCTCTGCTGTGGGATGATCTAGAGGACCCCTTTACATGTCTCAGTTTTGTTCCCTTCCCCTTGTGCAATTTCCCAAAAAAAAAAACCACTGATGGTTTGCAGATTTCACGTCACTGGTAACAAATATTTGGGTCACCAAGGATTTGTTGCCACAATTTTAAATACTATTTACAAAACAGGTATATCTCAACTCTCTCCTGTGTTAGCATGAAATATTCTTCATGGCATAGGCTTGTGCAGAAACCAAAGCTATTAAATGTTTAATTCTTGATGTATTTTTAGTTCTGTCTCCTGCTGCTGCAAACAGCTATCAGAAATTCGACTTTAAAGGCAATTAAAAAAAAAAAAAAAAGAAAAATTTATATGAAATAAAATCTGACTCTTATTCAGATGATTTTGGAGAACGTTTTTAAGTTGTCATAATTATTTTAAAATGCTTTCCATTAGAATCATAGTGTTAATATTATTGTTTGCAGATCATAATAATGTTTATTTGTTGACAAACAAGAATATAAACTATTTAAATTCCTTGGGAGCTATACATATTAAAAAGAGGCAGCTTCCACATCCTCTTGTGATTAATTACATGAGTTTGATGCAGAAGCCAGCCAGACATTTCATTCCTTGTGGCTTTTTTAGGGTGGGTGATGTGCAGTGGGAATAATGGCTAATCCCAGCAGGAAAAGTGTCACTGGTTTTTTATCTCCAGGTGGATCTGGATAAGCTTTTACTCGCTCAGGGAGGCGAAAAATACCTGTAAGAATGAATTTTTAGAGTTACAAAGCAAGCAGTTACTTTGATTTCTTTATTCCCAGGTGGTCACTGAGGTCACTGAGATCACTGAGACGGTCAGCACAGATGTCTCAGGTCCCCAAACCGCCCCAACCACCCCCAGTGTGGAGCAGGAAAAGCCTCCTGGGGAGAAGGTGGCACCTCCAGCCAGGACAAAGACAATCCGCACTAAAGTGGACCCAGCCAAGTTCTTGACGCCTTACCTGGAGCACAGCAACAAAATGAAGGACCTGTTCAGTGAGGTGAGATTGTCCCACATCTTTTATTTCTTCAGGAACACCTTGAGAAGATTTGGCGGGGATTATTTGATGATTACGTCGGAAATAACTAAATTTGTTTTGAAATTAAGATCACAATAATATCAGTAGTCAATTCTCAATTATTATACAGCAATGGATAGATAGTAATATCAATTATAGATTTTTATATATCAATTATATATATAAATGTTATATATTATATATAATTATTATCACTAGTAGCTTAATATCAATATTAAGCTACTACTTAATAATAATAATAAATAGTAAATAATGAATTAATAATTAAGAAATAATTAATTAAATCATTAGTAGTAAATAATAGTAAATAATAGTAAGTAATAATAATTAATATCAATATTAAGCTACTACTTCATAGTAATAATAAATAGTAAATAATAAATAATGAATTAATAATTAAAATAATTAAATAATAATTAATAGTAAATAATTAGTGTTAATTAATAGTAAATAATAGTAATTAGTAATAATTAATATCAGTATTAAGCTACGAAGGAGAATATAATCAATTAAAGGTGAGCCAAACCAGACAAGTTAGAGATGGATTTTTTCTGTTGTGTCAGATGGAATGAAGTCAGTTGGTTAAAATAAGCATAACTGCAAATGTAGTTGAGTAATGCTCGTTTCTGTCATTAAATAATCAGTCCACATTCTTATCCTAACCAGGTAAATGTGGCAATAATTGCCAATAGATTTCTGTCAGAGCTTTAGGCTGTGTCTTAATTATATCTGCCATTGTTTTCTTCCAGAACAAGTACAAGGAAAAATTTAGGAAAGAGAGGGGAAAGCCTTATGCTTCCACCGCTGATACCCCAGAAATCCGGAGGATCAAGAAGGTGCAGGAGCAGCTCAGTGAGGTGGGTGACAACTGCCTGAGAAAACAGTGCTTAGTGAGCAGTGAAGAAGCAAATGAAACCTGAGTTTTGAGTGTTGGATAAGAAGTGATAGATCCAACCAAGCTGATGTGACTGTATCGGTTTGGCACTGCAGCCGGTATTTACCTGGGAATGGAGCGGGAAATGCAGCTCCACTGCATGTCCTGGGGGTGGATCTCTCGGTGTGCAGAGGGGAAATGCTCTCAGAAGCAGCTCTGTGATTCCAGACAGGCACCGCCTCCAGCCTGGAATCCCAGCTCTTGAACCCCTCTCAAAGCTGCATTTCTGCCTCACTTCATTCCCCACGTCCCTTGGTTTCCAGAGGCTGCGTTTCTAGCTCTGTTCAGGTGCTTAGTGTCAGGATGTCAATATTCTGATTTTCTTTGAAAGCAGAAAAGCAGCGTTGCCGTCGAATAAAACAACTTTCTGTGCCCTGCAGGTTAAATACCGCATGGCTGGGGAAATTGCCAGGACTATCTGCCACGTGGATGAAAAGGCCAAGGATATAGAACATGCCAAGAAAGTGTCCCAGCAAGTGAGCAAGGTGAGTGGCTTGGACTGTGGGAACATCAGTGCATTGTGGAGCTGCTGACATGAAGAAAGGTTTGAGCTAAAATCGTGTTTATACAACAATTCAGAGGCACAGGGAGGGACAGCAGAGAAGTTGGTATAAATATGTCTTGTAAATATAAACATAATCTTAAATGTTTCCATTTGCTGCCTTCAAATGTCACTGCGCTGAGGCTTTCCCTTTGAAATAATCTCAAGAGCAGGTAGTTTATTCACAATATTTACACAGTATCGACAAAAGTAAATGGTTTTTTTTAGTGATTGAGTGACCAACTGGCTGATCTTTCCTTCCAGGTGTTATATAAACAGAACTGGGAGGAGAATAAGGACAAGTACCTGCTGCCCCCTGATGCTCCAGAGCTTGTGAATGCAATAAAAAACACAGCAATGTTCAGCAAGGTAAGAGAAAACAACCCCAGCTCTAAGCAGCTGGAGGGAGAGAAGCTTTCCAAGGCGCAGATTAATTCACAGTGAGTATTCTGGTGTTTTTTCTGGGTTCCAGAAACTCTACACTGAGGAGTGGGAAGGAGACAAAACTCTGTTTTATCCCTACAATGACAGCCCAGAGCTCAGGAGGGTGGCACAGGCTCAGAAGGCTCTGAGTGATGTGAGTACCAAACACAGTTGGGTTCCACCATAGCTTGGAAGGATATTTCTATTCTACACTAGAGTTTTATAATATTTTAAATTAAATATTTGAATAAAATGATTTCAAGGTCTTCTGATCCTTTATAATCAGTGAGGGGACCTCGAGTATCTCTCCAAATGGAGAAACTCCCAGGGTTGGCTCTAAATCCACCCTTGTGGGTCTGCAAATCTGTCCCTAAAACAGCCATAAGCGAAGTCAGGAATGGGCAGGGCTGGGGGATTTGCTGATGTTTGGATACCCAGAACTCTCCAGTCTGGGATTTCAGGTCAGGATTTCAGTAAATTTTGCAGATATTCCCTGGTAACACACTGTCTGAAGGGGTTGCTGCTGCAGTGGCCGTGGGCAGATCTGCTGCTGTTCACGGGCTGGGGGCAGAGTTGAATGTTGTTGATGCTCAGCTTGGCAGTCATTGGAAATCTCTGTTTCTTCCCCATTTTCAGATTGTCTACAAAAAAGGACATGATGAGCAGAAAGCCAAATTTACCTCCCTGCCAGATCCCCCTGAGGTGGAACTGGCCAAGAAGGTGACAAAGCAGCTGAGCAATGTGAGTAGGATGCAGTGTCTTTACCTGTAGAAACACTTTGGGAATTAAGAGAGGCCAAAAGGTACCAAAAGACAGGCAAAGAGAAAGAAAAGAAATGCAGGAAGCCCAAATTTGCGAAGAAACTGGAACCAAGTGTCATAATCTTGTAAGGCAGAAGTAGGATTTTAACTCAGTTCAGAGTTTAGGACAAGCGTGAATTTATTTTGTTTATTTTATTGTGTATTGAACATTTTCTGCTCCTTAAGATTAGAGAGTTACCCTGTTCACTTCTGGTTGCAGAACCACTCATAAAATATTATACTGGACCCATTTGGAAGGTGAAATAGTTTTGCTTAGAGAAAACATCTATAATCTTATTATTCCATAGTTTGAAAGCTAAATTGTCATCAAGAAGATTTTGTAACATGTAAAAACCAAGATCAGTATCATAATTCTTTGAAATGAATAGAATAATAAGCAGCAATAACAGTAAATTCCTAGTTAACTAATGGGCAATATTACGTCCCAATATTATGTGAGCAGGGAGAAAACAGAACTAAAAGAATATGTTGGTGAAGTGTCACAGAGAGATCTTCTTATCAATAACTTTGTCCAAAAAGAGATTATTTCTGCCACCTATTTATCCTTTTTAGGTCAGGGGAGGAACTAAGAGCAATAACTGAACACTGAAGTGGTTTGGTCAGATCATGTTTGAAGTGTTTTTGACAATAGCTACTAAAGTGTTTACAAGGCAGATGTAAAACGTGAAGCAACTTGAAAAGTACAGCCGTGAAAACCAAACCTGTCAAGTGATGAAAAAAAGGAGCTGTGTCTTGGGGGTTAAATCTGATTGTTTTATTTCCTTACAGATTAATTATCATGAGGACTACAAAAACAAAATCAAAGGCAAGTGGAGTCAAACTCCGTGCTATGACGTGGCCATTGCAAAGATGAATGCAGAAAATCTGAGTATGGTGAGTGGGTTCTTCAGGAAATCCTGAACAGCTTTATCCCCTGTCTCTGTTAACATGTTAAATACTGATATAATTTACCTGCTCCTCTTGTGATATTTCTGCTTTCCTCAATGAGCCACTTCGTGGATGTCTGATTGGAATGTAAGTGCATTTGATCCATTGTTTTCTGTCTGTTCCTAACAGAGAAAGTACCAGGAAGACTTTGAAAACATGAAAGACCAAATCTACTTCATGCAGACTGAAACCCCAGAGTATGAAGCCAACAAGAGAGCTTCAGATAATGTCAGCAAGGTGAGTTCTGGGTGTTCCACCTGCTCAGCTTCACAACAGTCCCACAGTCAGGCAAGCTGGGGCTGAAACTGTTCTGTCAGGACCTTTCATGGTCCTTTGCCACAATGAATGGTAAGATAAGTAACAGGAGTATTGAAAAATTCAAGGTTATAGCATAGAATAGAATCACATCCCAGGCTGGTTTGGGTTGGAAGGGGCTTTAAAGCCCATCTTGTTCCAGCACCGACACCTTCCACTCTCCCAGGTTGTTCCAAGCCCCGTCCAACCTGGCCTTGGACACTCCCAGGGATGGGGCAGCCACAGCTTCCCTGGGCAGTAACACAGGTTAGTGAACATTTGGCTTTTAGTACTGATTTTTCAAACCCTACCCTTTTTGGTTTTATTTTTTCAAGGTGAAATACAGAGCAGACTATGAAAAGAAGAAAGCTATTGCAGATTACAATGTGCTTCCTGCTACAGAGAACCCACTGCTGAAGCAATTAAAGACTGCAGGCAATATTCTCAGTGATGTAAGTACCACGAGTTCCAGTCCTGTGTGAGAAACCAAACTCTTCATTTCTTCACAAGGCCTCTCCTTTGGATCTCTTGGTGTTTTTAGTTTTGTATTTAGTCATGAGATGCCCCCAACCAGAGTGGTTCAGGTAAAGAGTCATTTCTCCACAGATGAGTGGGGGATATAGCAGTGGCATAGCTAGTTGTTTTATAATTCATTTAGATCCCTGTGGATAATGGATCACAAGAGGACAGTTCTTCCCTTACTGGTTTAAGGAATTCCAACTGATACAATAATGATTAAATTTGTGGTACTTTTACACCTGCTGTATTCTGGTTCCTCTCTGTAATAGCCTTCTCAGGTTCTCTCCTCTTGCTGTTTTCATCTGCATGGAAGGAGATGACATATTTCTCAGTGTCAGAACTTCAAAACCCAGTAGTCAGACCTTTCTGGCTTCCCTCCCAAACCTAAAAAAAAAGCTACTTTAAAAAATCAGGGGGAAAATAGTGCCATCTGTTTCCCTGTCCTGTGGGAAATCTTCTCTTTGCAACCGTTTCGCAACTTTCCTCTTGCAATTTTTAACGTGCTGCGGGTGAGTTGCGGTGAAACCTCTCCTGCATTACCTGCCCTTATTTTCTCTTGCAGAAATTGTACAAAGAAGCCTATGAGCAGTCAAGAGGCAACAAGATGAATTACTGTGACACCCCCAAGTTCCAGACCGACGCTGCTCTGAAGAATTTCAGCGACGTACGTGCTTGATTTACGTTGTGCCCCTCAGCCCTGACCCTCTGGGTTACTCCTGTTTATCAACTCAGCATTGTTTCCCCAGGTGAAATACAAAGAGGCCTATCAAAAGAACATTTTGGGGCACTATCTGGGCAGCTTTGAGGACCCCCATCACACCCACTGCATGCAAGTGGAAGCCATGAAGAGCGACGTGAGTGTGGCCGTTGCTCTGCTTTCCCCACCCCACCCTCATTCCAGGGAAAAGCTCGGCTGTGGTTGCTTACTCAGTGTTGGTTTTGCCCCTAGAAAAACTACAAAGCAGATTACGAGGAGGAGAAGACAAAATGCTACTTCCCCCAGACCATAACTCAGGAGTATGAAGCCATCAAGAAGTTGGAGCAATGCAAAGATGTAAGTAAAGAACAGGAGTGCAGATTACCAGAGTGATTCCTGTTAATTTGGGATTTTGAATTTGGCTTGACTAGCTGAAGTGACTTTTAAAAAACCTTCATCCCTGTTTTAGAGCCTTTTGTGACATCTAGTGATCCAGACAGATATTGCACAAGGCCTTTTTTAACCAGTAAAACCATAAAATTAAAGGAATGGTACCAAAATGAAGAATGAACCTCAGGCATTCACCTGCTTAACTCAACATACTTTAAAATTAATCCTTTGAAAGTACTGAAGTTACTTTATTCATGATTTTATTTGCTTTATCGATGCTCGGAAAATCCTTTCTATGCCTCTTCTGCCAATGTATTTTTTATCTTCCCTCAGCACACCTACAAAAAGCATCCTGATCAAACCAAATTCACTGCAGTCACCGACTCTCCAGTACAGAAGCAAGCAGAGATCAACAGCAAACAGCTGAGTGATGTAAGCAAAATTACCAATCTCTGCCCTCTCTCACTCCATCACCTAGTTTTAAGAGAACTTCTGAAATAAATGTGTAGTTGACTGTGTGTATATTTTCACAGTTCCAGTGGAAAATCTCCTGGAAATCACATTATTTTCGTAGTTTTTTTAATTGACAATTAATTTGGGCCGTTAAATTTCTTTCTTTGTTTTTTCTGGCAGATATTGTATAAATCCAAAGGTGAAGAAATAATTCACAAGTACCACCTCCCTCCTGATGTGCCCCAGTTCATCCAGGCCAGAGTTAATGCCTATAACATCAGTGATGTGAGTATATTTGGAGTTTAGAGCTCTCCATCCAAATGAAGTTTCTGTTAAGTTCACCTCTTCTTCGAGAGCTATTGCAAAATGGGATTGGAATAATGAGAAGCAGGGGGGGTTGATCTGAAAAGTGGTGCTGTTCCTCTCCTGTCCCAAATGCCCAAGCTCTGAACTCAGCTAAACTTTTGTTTTTGTGCTTGTTAAGCAAATTTTTAAGCTGCCTGAGCATCCATGAGCATAAACACATTTCAGAGCTTTACTGGTGTAAACACTGAATGAGAAAACCAGAGTGATATTATTATCACTGTAGGTTTGGAGACTTATATCATTTATTTTTATATAAAGCACTACAAGCTCTCTGTGTGTCGCTTCCTGCTGCTGGGCTTCCAAAGGCAATTATCCAACAGGAAGATTGGAATGCCTTTTCCTGCCATTCAGCTACTTGCCTCCTTACTTGCATCCATCCAACACCATAAAGATCTCCACTGACAGCATCAATTCTATTGCCTTTATGATATTAAATTTTTGGTGGCATTATCGACCTTCCAGGAGCGAGATAAAAGCTGCTGCCGCCTTTAATAGCCTTGAAATGCAAATATTCTGTCCAAACTGATGATAAAAAGTCAGCCAGACTGCTTTCTTCAGTCATTTCACACCACAAGGGCCGAGTTTGAAGCTGACAGGAAAAAAATTTCTGAAGGCTCAGTCAAATGAAAAAGGGCTTTGCTTAATCAATGGCAAAAATGCCACTGATGGAGTTGTTCTGAATAAAAATTGAAAAGAAGAAGATGCTTGTGGAGCTAATGATTATCTTTGTAGCAGATTTATTTATCCAAATAGAACTGCAGTTTGTGTGCAGGTTAACGTTTTTCCTCGAAATTTCTCGGACTAAACTGAGTATTTTGACTCTATAACTGTAATAAAAATAATGGCTTAAACACTTGGTTAAAATCCCTGCTCCTAACCCTGTGAATTCCTTTCTTTTCCCCCTCCAAGGCTAACTACAAAGCAGACTGGAAGAAAACCCTTTCCAAAGGGTATGACCTGAAACCAGATGCCATTCCCATTATTGCAGCCAAAGCCTCTCGGAACATCGCGAGTGACGTGAGTGCCATTTACAGCACGTGGAGCCCACGCTCACCTGCTGCCCTGCAGCTTTCTGTAGCACCTTGTCTGCCTCAAGTATTCACCAGCTCACCTGAAACTTTATTATTTATTATTATTATTATTATTATTATTATTATTATTTACCTATTCTCTGTTCTTAATTGCTGTCCTTCTTCTTTAGCAAAAGATTGCAAGTGACTCTTCCAACCCCTTCTTAATCATCCCAGTTGAACATTGGGGTATCTGATTGTTTGGTTGGGGGGGTTCAAAATCGTGTTATTATAGTTTATATGATATTATGTTGTTGGTTTATTATTATTAGATTATAGTTTATGTTATAGCCTAATTAAAAGCTGGATGTCCCTGGGGGTGAGAAGTCCATGGCAGTGGAATATCAGTGGCAGTGGTGAGGGAGGGCATGTAGATGAAATTTATGAGCTTGTAGAATGAAGTGCAGTGGTTAATACTGTGCAGCTCAGTATTTTAAAATCATCCAGAGCACGTGTCCTCTTTCCCAAGTGGGCAAACCTCTCTTTGCTCTGCTGGCAGTACAAGTACAAGGAATCCTACGAGAAGGACAAGGGCAAACAGGTCGGGTACCGCAGCCTCCAGGACGACCCCAAACTGGTTCACTACATGAACGTGGCCAAAATCCAGTCGGACCGCGAGTACAAGAAGGACTACGAGGTCACCAAGACCAAGTACCACACTCCCCTGGACATGTTCAGTGTGACAGCGGCCAAGAAGGCCCAGGAGGTGGTTACAAACACAGGCTACAAGCAGCCAATCCACAATTACACCCTCCTGCCCGATGCTGTCAGCCTGGAGCTCTCCAGGAACGTGATGCAGCTTCAGAGCGACGTATGTAATCATTTATCAGCTCGTTATTGTCTTCTCATAACGGATTGTGTGGCACTATTGGCCTTTTAAGGCTAAAAAATTCACTTCTGTAATGCAATATATATTATACTGGGTTAACAGTAGATTGGGATGTCAGTGACTGGTCTGGAACCATTTATTTTCCAAAGATTATCAGGATTATATGTAACTGGTAAGTTCTGGGGAACTTACCTAGTGAGTAACAACTTTCCTTATATCTCTACATATTTGGTTAATTCCCAACAAATTCATGTAGTTCTATAATTACAATGTGTTATTGCTGTGATTGTTAATTGTCCTGTCAGACATCATAGGTTATGTACAGGGTCTAAGTACTGATTTTATTATATTTTAAGTTTTATTTAGGTCTAAATTTTGCCTCAAAAATGAAAGACCAGGAGAAGTTTTAAGGCCTTACCTGTGTTTCTGTATAATGACGTTGTTGTTTTCTTCGCCTCACTGTGTTTCTTTGTCTACTTTTTAAAAGAATTTGTACAAATCTGACTTCAATAACTGGCTGAGGGGGGTTGGCTGGGTACCAATCCAGTCCCTGGAGGTAGAAAAGGCCAAAAAAGCCACGGAGATCCTCAGTGAGAAGAAGTACCGGCAGCACCCCGAGCAACTGAAGTTCTCCATCCCCACGGATGCCATGGAGCAAGTGCTGGCCAAGCAGAATGCCAAGACCATGAACAAGGTGAGGAGTCCTTCAGGTCATCATGGGCAAGCCACAGTTTGGGTCTTTGGCTTGGAAAGTTGTGCATTCTCGCTGATGTTGTTTAAGTTTCCAGTGGGTGAAGTGGTTGTGTGGTTAGGACTGGACACTAAGAGGCCATGGAAGCCTTGGGCTGTTCATAATTAAGGGAGTTTCCTTATTTTTATTAAAGATTTCTGGTTTGTGTATGTTACTAAAGATGTCTTCTCCCCTGAAATTCTGTCAGTTTAGTACAATTTTCCTTGAAAAGTGAAGTTCTTTACACTTATCCATGGTTATCTGGGACCCCACTGATCCTTATTCCATGTCTGTCATGGAAGAAGTGTCTGTGAAATAAAAGTCATTCCTTCCTCTAAAGCAGGGAAGAATTCCCATCTTCAATATTTATTAGTTCTCAAAACAAATTTCCAAATGTCTCAAAGTACTAAAGAAAGGAAGGAGATAACAAATATGAGTTGTCCCTCAGCACTCATATTTCTGAAGGTTATTTATGATGCTTATGGCACTTTCTATAAAATATTAATTATTGCAAAAGCAAATTAATTCAGAGTTCAGTACCTTTTCAGTGCTAAAGATGGCTTTGTGATTGCAGAGGCTCTACACAGATAAATGGAACAAGGAGAAGACCACCATCCACGTCATGCCAGATACCCCAGAAATCCTGCAGTGTAAAGTGAACCAGCTCACGATGAGCGATGTGAGTCCCTGCGAGACCAAACACTGGTGTCATTATAATGAATGCCTTCTAAAAAAACTATTTAAATTCAGGTGCAGCTCAGTAGTTCTGCCTTTGTGATGCTTGTTCTCTTTCCTGTCTGGGATCAGAAACTCTACAAGGCTGGCTGGGAGGAGGACAAGAAGAAGGGCTATGACCTGCAGCCTGACGCCATCCCCATCAAAGCCGCCAAAGCCTCCAGAGACATCGCCAGCGACGTGAGTTGGGTGGAATTCACTCCAAATGGCCCAACCTGAGGCCTCGTGATGTTCTCAGTGGTAAGCTGGATGTTGGGAGTGCAGTTTGGGATTGAAGCTCTTGCTGTTGGTCGTTTCTCAGTACAAGTACAAGCTGGCCTACGAGAAAGCCAAGGGCAAGCACATCGGCTTCCGCAGCCTCGAGGACGACCCCAAGCTGGTGCACTTCATGCAAGTGGCCAAGATGCAGTCGGACCGGGAGTACAAGAAGGACTATGAGAAGGCCAAGACCAATTTCCAAACCCCAGTGGACATGGTCAGCGTGGTGGCAGCCAAGAAAGCCCAGGAAGTGGCTACGAATGCCAACTACAAAAACCTGATCCACACCTACAACGTCCTGCCCGATGCCATGAGCATCGAGCTGGCCAAAAACATGATGCAGCTGCAAAGTGATGTGAGTAAAAGGGAGGGCCTTCAGCCTTTGCACTGCAAATACAGCCATCCTTCACTGATGAAAGCGCAGTGAGATTATATTTATACAATATCCAATATGTATTATGTTGGATTAACAGCAGGTTGGGACGTGACTGGTCTGGAACGATTTATTTCCCAAAGATTTTCAGAATTATGGGTAGCTGGGAAGGTGCAGGGAATCTGACTGGCAGGGAAAAACTAAAACGGCTATTAAGATAAATAATACTAGTTTCTTAGTGAAATTAGTTCAGCTATATACTAAAAGGTAGTAAATTAAACAAGTTCTTCAGCAATTATAGCCATTTTATTTTTTTCAGACTCTGAAATATGAAATTACACCTATTGCTAAAGAATTTCAGTTCAAAAATATGCAAGTAAAATGGATATTTACTCCTTGCAGGTCCCATCAGGCTCTTCAGGAGCAAAAGTTGTGTTCAGACCAACACAGGAAAACCGTAATTTCTGATTAATGGCATTTATCTTGTCCTTCCAAATTTACCAACAGGAAGAAGTGTCAGGATTTACTGATTTATTTTTTTTTTTAATGTATCTGGGCTTTTCTTTTCTCTTTCTGTCTCCAGAATCAGTACAAAGCAGAGTATGATGAAATGATGAAGGGGGTTGGGTGGCTCCCACTGGGCTCCCTGGAAGCTGAGAAGAACAAAAAAGCCATGGAAATTGTCAGTGAGAAGAAATATCGGCAGCACCCGGACAAGCTGAAATATTCTGTTCCCATGGACTCCATGAACATGGTCTTGGCTTTAAATAATGCCAAAATCATGGATGAGGTGAGAAAGGGGTCAGCGAAATTCATCTAATCTTATTGTAGGCACAGCTTTAGAAAAACATCCATTTTTTTTTAAGTTCATGAATAAATTTTAAGTGCTAAAATAAAGGGATAAATTGTTAGGAAATAGTCTTTTAAATTGTTTTATTTAATGACAAGAGGTGTTGACATCCTTTTTTTTATCCTTCCAGCACAAGTACAAACAAGCCTGGGAAGAAGACAAAAAGAAAATTCACATCACCCCAGATATTCCCCAGATTGTTTTGGCAAAAGCAAATGCATTTAACATAAGTGAGGTGAGTACTGTTTGTAAGGCTTTTAATTTTTTATTAGGAGTAGGTGAGATGACAGCAAAACCAAGTCTCTCTAATTCTCACCTGGCTAACATGTAGTAATTTCTCAAAAAATTATTAATTTTCCTTTTTCCTGCTACTTCCCCCCAAAATAAATACCAAAAGTAGCCAAGAAAAAGCCATGTTGTTTATAATCAGATGATGAAATGTTCAGGTAGGTCATCAAAATATAATAGTTGCTAACAGAATGGTACAGTTCGAGTGCTAGTCATGTGTGTTAGTGCATTTGTTATTTATTATTTTATTTCCCCATGCACAAGTTTTTGTCCTGGACTGAAAACTCCTGCAGATTGCACCTGTTCTTTTGGTGACAGGTGAAATTACAGGCAGGTTTTGGTAGCCGCTTGTTAAATAAAGTATTGCTTGTAATTGTGCATTTAATGTGGGCACAAAGAGACATATTTGTGTCTTTTTTTTTTTTTTTTTATTCGACAACCTTTCAGATGTAACTTTTCCCCTGTATTTGTCCATGTGGAAAACATGCAATATCTTGCTTTTTGGCAGAAAATGTACAGATCTTCCTTTGAGGAATCCAGGAAGAAAGGATACGACCTCAGAGCTGATGCCATCCCTATTAAAGCTGCCAAAGCTTCCAGGGATATTGCCAGTGATGTAAGTTCTTGAAACCAAAAGTGATCCGTTTGAGGTGTTGTAAAGAGCTCAGTTCTCGACACAATTCAATTTTAGATGCCAAATATACGAAGTCTGTTTGTTCTCTGGCTTGTAAATAATTCTGACATGTTTCATGTATATTGCAATATGTTGTAATATATGTTGTAATACATTGTAATATATATTGTAATACATTTTCTGGGGATAAAGAACAATTTCTTTGCAAGAAAGATAAGGAAATACAGAGGGACTCTTAGGAAAAAAACAAAAAAAAGGCATTTAATTCCTCAGAGTGATGGTGCTTGGATACCTTCTAAATATCTGTTGTATGTTTGTGGTTTAAACAGAATATTCACAGATTATTAGAAATACTTGAAAAGAACAAATATGGACTTACATTCTTTTGACTTCAGTGGTGCAATTCTCTTGAATACCCTGCTTTTGAAGGCTCCCCAGACACTGGTTTGCTTTAGAGTGCACCCTAAGAGGACAAACCCACCACCTCCATGTGCTTTGTGATGCTTTAACTATGCCAACATTTTATTTTAATCTGAGTGTGAGAGGTTGTTTTCCTTATAAGATAGATATTCCTTATTAAGCAAATGAATCATAGAACCATGGAATGGCCTGGGTGGGCAGGAACATCAAGGATCATCCAGTTCCAACCCCGACACCTTCCTCTAGCCCAGGTCGCTCCAAGCCCCGTCCAACCTGACCTTGGACATTCCAGGGATCCAGGGGCAGCCACAACCTGTCCCAGTGCTCCCCATCCTCCCAGCCAGGAATTCCTTCCCAATGTCCAGCCTAAACAAACTAAAACCCCTGTTTGTGTCCTCTTGCAGTACAAATACAAGTTGGGATACGAACAGGACAAGGGCAAACTCGTGGGCTTCCGCAGCCTCCAGGACGACCCCAAGCTCGTCCATTACATGCAAGTGGCCAAGATGCAGTCGGACAGGGAGTACAAGAAGGCCTATGAGATGGGCAAGACCCACTACCAGACTCCCACGGACGCCCTCAGCGTGGTGGCCGCCAAGGAGGCCCAAGGGCGTGTGACCAACACCAACTACAAGCGGCTGATCCACCAGTACATGCTGCTGCCAGATGCCATGAGCCTGGAACTCTACAGGAACATGAACCAGATACAGAGTGATGTGAGCTTCTGGTTTGATTTTTTGGGTGTTTTTTTCCTGTTCTTACATCACAGCTGTGTTTTGAGTGGGCTGTTTCACAGAGTCACAGAATGTCCTGAGTGTGAAGGGACCCACAGGGATCATCGAGTCCAGCTCCTGGCACTGCCCTGGCCCATCCCCAGGAGTCCCACCACGTGCTGAGGGTGAATTGTAAGCTCTCCTTTCATGTTCTCTTGGCAGAACGAGTACAAGCAGGATTACAAGGAGTGGTTCAGGGGCATTGGGTGGAGTCCCATTGGTTCCCTGGACGTGGAGAAATCCAAGAAAGCCACGGAGATCGCGAGCGATCAGAAGTACCGGCAGCACCCCAGCCAGTTCCCCTTCACCAAACAGAACGATGCCATGGACCTGGTCCTTGCAAAGCAGAATGCAAATATCATGAACAAAGTGAGTGTTTATGGGGGAAATGAGGCAAACACTCACAGAGAATCCATTTCAATAAACAGTCTGTAAGTCTCTGTCACCACCTTTACGGAGCAGCATTTCACTGGGAAAAATAGCTATTATAGCTCCTCTTTCTTCATTTTGTTTCTTAATGAAACAGTTATTATGATAAATAGCATTGTTAAAAATTTTTTTCTCACTTTTCTAAGACCTCTGTTCTTCCCATTCTTATATAAAAATTACTGGTCCTGAACATCTTGATAGTTGGACTTCATTAGAAGCAAGGCTGGGTAATAGTTCAACTGGTTCTGGATTAGGTCATTACAGAGTAAAAATCAATCTAAGCCAGCACGCAGGTCCTTTTACCCATCAGTCCACAATGTGCACAAATGGGAAGGTGGAAACCCCTAAAGAACCATCTTTTGTCATTTATATTAACGTTTCTGATGTACTTTTTATCCACAGCATGCTTATACTCAGGCCTGGGAGAAGGATAAAACAAAGGTCCATGTGATGCCAGATACACCAGATATTCTCCAGGCAAAACAGAACAAGACAAATTACAGTCAGGTAGAGTTTATTAATTCTTCCTATTAACATTTTAAATTAACAGAGGCAAGAATTTTTATGTGAGTAATATTTTAAGAGTACCATTAAGCACCAGCTTCAGGCTACAAACTAACAGACTAAATTGCATTACAATGTGTGGAAAATGTAAATCCTGTTTTGGAAACCTGAAATTGCGTAAGCCACACTCTGTGCTTAACAGAAAATCAGTTAAAAATTCCTTAGTATAAAATTACAAGTTAATTGTGTATATTTTTAACCCAGGGGAAAAGAACTACATGCAGTGATTCCCTCTTTCCTGTCAGCTTTCAAACAGGAGAAAGTGACAATTGTGCCAGAAAAAAATCCTCAGGTTTCGCTTTGCATCGTTGTTCAGAGAGAAATCTTTGACTTGCAAATGCCTGTCCTTAAAATCCACAATGCACAAACTTAACTGACTATGGAATGGCTGCACGGAACCCTTAGGAATTAAAATGTCGTTAAGCCAACTGAGCAGTTATTCCTGGTGTATATAACTCAAATTCCCCAAGATAAGCTCCAGTAGGAAGCTGCTGCCATGACTAAAAACTCCTTAATGCCCATCCTAAGCCTTGGAAGAGCAGTATTCCTGGTTTATCACATCTCAGTTCCCATTCTAGCAGCCCTTCCCTTGGAAGTGGAGCCTGTGAAGTGACCAGGATTTGGTCAGATGGATCATTAGTGTACCTGAATAGGAGGTGGCACTCATTATTACTAAACCTTTTTAATGACTGTTGTTTTCCATTTTAGAAACTCTACAAGCTGGGCTGGCAGGAAATGATCAAGAAAGGCTATGACCTCACACCTGAAGCCATGTCAGTGAAAGCTGCCAAAGCTTCCAGGGACATTGCAAGTGATGTAAGCATCTGCACTTTTCATTGTTGATGATGTTATTCACCAAATTATTTCAGTGTGTCAGTCTTAGGAATTCTGAGCATCTGTGAATCAGATGGCACAGGAGACCTTCTAGCCATGCCCTCTTCTTCTCCTGGGATAGCATTTACTATCACCAAGTGGTGCTCTTTAATCAAGGGGCTACTAAAACTACCTGGAAGGCCATAACAAGTTGCTTTTTTATGGAATTACAGAGTCACAGAGTGGGGTGGAAGGGACCTTAAAGCTCATCCCGTTCCACCCCCTGCCATGGGCAGGGACACCTTCCACTAAACCAGGCTGCTCCAAGCCCCGTCCAGCCTGGCCTTGGACACTTGCAGGGTGAATTCACTGGTAATGGCAATTGAATGAGAGGATATGTCGCTGTTTCACCCTTGTCATTTGATCACCAATCGCTCTCGTTGCAGTTCAAGTACAAGGAAGGTTACCGCAAGCAGCAGGGACACCACATCGGCTTCCGCAGCCTGCAGGATGATCCCAAGATGCTGTGGTCTATGCAAGTAGCTAAAATGCAGAGTGACAGGGAGTACAAGAAAGATTTTGAGAAGTGGAAGACCAAGTTTAATATGCCTGTGGATATGTTAGGCTTCCTCTTGGCCAAGAAGTGCCAGGAACTGGTCAGTGATATCGACTACAAGCGGATACTGCACCGCTGGACTTGCCTGCCAGACCAGGTTGATGTCACCGAGGCCAAGAGGGTCAATGAACTGCAGAGTGATGTAAGCTTCCTCTGGGTTTAATTCACTCAGTTTCTTGTAAAATAATTACTGCTTTTTGGACAGTATCTTTGGTAACTCTTTCCGATGTCAGTATAGATCAGATTGAATCTAAAATAGCAGTTAGTCTTTTCATCAACAAACAGTTAAATAACCTGCTATGGCTTTGGTTTTCATCCTTAACAGAACTTGTATAAGTCAGATCTACAATGGCTCAGGGGCATTGGATGGAGTCCTCTGGGATCTCTGGAGTCTGAGAAGAACAAGAAAGCTTCTGAAATCCTGAGTGAGAAGAAGTACCGGCAGCACCCGGACACCATCAGGTTCACGAGCATCCCAGACGCCATGGATGTCGTTCTGGCCAAGTCTAATGCCAAAAACAGGAGTGATGTGAGTTGCCTCTAGAGACAGAATGTGGGATTCAATCAATACTTACATTAATAGACGTTTTTAAATGATCTCCATATCAAAACATGTGCTTAAAATAGGCAGATAGCAGATGTCAAATAAGACCTTTTCTAGGTTGTATGCAGATATATTGCTTTAATGCTGTTGCCTTGGCATTACATGGATGTAAAGAAGGAAAACTAGGTTGTACTTCACCAAGAAGTCGTTGTGTTCTTTGAATTCTTGCATAGTACAGCTTTGCTTTGCTATTGCAGGGAAAAGATGAATTGAAATTACTCTTATGCTGGGGAATCTTGGACCAGACAAGGTTTTTGTTTGATCTTTCAGATCCTCTACAGAGAAGCTTGGAACAAGGACAAGACTCAGGTTCACATCATGCCTGACACTCCCGAAATTTTGCTGGCAAAGTCGAATTTGATTAACACAAGTGATGTAAGTGTGTCACTACAATTTTTCCTTCGTGGAATTGTGATTGTGCCTTTAGTTTACAAAGCAGTCAACTCAGTCTGCAGTTCTAACAGCTGCAAACACACCTGGGATCTTTCCTGAGGAAACTTATGCACCAGGAAGACTGAGGGGAATTGATGAATTATAAAGTGGGAGTGAAGTTACCAGAACATAGAAAACATTAGGAAAATATCCAACATGTTACCAGTTTTCTCTTTGATCCCTACTGATTGTGTTAACTTAATATTAATAATATTCAGTACTTTTTAGTAATCCTGTCATTCTGATGGAATGTCTGGAATGTGGAAATGTCTGATTGTATTAAATGACCTCTTTAGAATTACATGAGAGTCTGTAATTCACATAAAAATCTTGACTATAAAGGAACAAACATTAATGCAAAGGTAAAGAAATGTCAGCAGCTCTATCACGAGAACTGGGGAAAACAGAAATAAGTGCATTTGAAATTGGGTGTAGAGAATCAGGGGGCTGTATTACTCACCTCCGTGAGTCATTCGCATTGATATATTTAGTAGAAGGACAGTTTGGTCTTGAATGAGGTATCAGAAAACACTCAGATAGTAATTTTTATATATGTAATCAGTTACAAAATACATGTACTTAACAGCAAGGTATGGAATTTAATTTGATATATCAAGCTGTGTTTGGAAACCCAAGCTTTATTTTCAATAGTCAGGGGTGTAAAGTTCTACCATTGAAAAATGTATTTGCAATAATTCCTTTGAATCCTTTTCCAACAGAAACGTTACAAGCTGGGATATGAAGAGCTGAAGAAGAAGGGCTATGACCTTCCTCCTGATGCCATCCCTCTCCAGGCAGCAAAGGCATCCAGGGACATTGCCAGTGAGGTAAGACTTCCAGGGAAAATAACAGTGGGGCATTGAAGGGGGATATACTTTTGGATGAACATGTTTTATATTTAAAAGGAGGAGAGGTCTAAAATTTTACCACTCTTTATATTGCTGCCCTTCTTCAAGGGTGTGTAATTCTTAAGGCACTAAAGTTAATTAAATTAATACAATAATTTAAAATGTCATAGTATATAACTATAAAAGATCCCAT